GCACTGTTGTCTTGCCCTAGGTCAAAAGCTCTACTTCGCCGATGGACAAAACAAACCTTTTAGGATTCTTTAAATTGGTACGGGCATCTGCGAGAAATTCAGCTTGCTTTATAAGTACCCCTCCAAAGACGGAGCCATAAAAAACATTGCCAGCGTGTGGTTGTTGCAGGCATTTGCCGCCATTTGGGCTACTTCCCAAGTGCCTTCGCCTCTCACTACGAGCGTATAGAGAGGAGTTTTTGACTTCTTTTTTTGACATTTACTGCACTATTGACTTTTGTTTTTGTAGATTTCAATTAAAGAAATATTCGCTTGATTTCATTCCAGGAAAATTTTGAAGTATTTTTTTTAGTATGCTTTTCCAGTAACTTCGTCCTCCTCATGTTTGAAAGCACTTTCCTGCATTACTAGTACTGGGATGTTTAGGAAGAAAATCGCTTTAAAGTTTTCAGTTAGGAAGCAAATCCTGAATCTTCTGTGGTGAACTAAAAAATATATTAGTATCCTGAAGTCTACTTTCATAAAATTTGCATTATTAATATCGGATATGAGACGATGGCGTATATCCACTCTCAAGTTTGAATCGTTTTCTTGAATCCAGCATTTTAGGCCAATTTCTCCGCGATTTGTTGATTCACCTTGACAATGCGCTGGCATGCTTAGCATTCTTGAGCAGTCAAATCACATACAGCATGCTTTTTCTGACATACAAAGCCATCGAAACTACTTCTATCTTTCGTCGACAGCGAAATATCGACTTAAAATAGTTTTAACTCTTAACTGTAACTGAAAAGTTGGAGAGTTGCAGTGCGAATTGTTTTAGGCTGCAACTATGTATGGCGTAGAAACAGAGGATTTGCTGAAATCTTTTACACATCCACGTGTGAAAGTTGGTACCGAATGGGTGAATAAAGGTCAAAACGTGGACCAGGTGAACTGGGCTGTTGGTGCAATGGGTAAAGCAGTGTATGCACGAGTGTTCCACTGGCTCGTTAAAAAGTGTAACGTAACGCTGGATCAGAAAGGCACCAACAGGGATTTTTTCATCGGTGTTCTGGATATTGCTGGTTTCGAGATTTTCGATGTAATTAACAGATTTTTCAAACTTTTGAAAATTACAAGATTTCTTATTTTTATAATTTTTATGCGTTTTTTGCGGCTATGCAATGCCAAAACTCAAATTGTCTAAGGGTTGTCTGTGTGTGTGTTATGTGCGTGTACGTATGTGTGTCTGTGTGTGCGCCTGTAACGAGTTTTCATCTCGAGATCCACAAAAAAATAAGGCTGAA